ATACATAAATAATAGAGATGAACATATGGGAGGAATGTTAAGCAAATTTGCAGATGACATCAAGATTGGTAGAGTGGTTAATAATGAAGATGATGTTTGTTTTACAGGAAGATATAGATGGGTTTGTCAGATGGGCAGGCCAGTGGCAGATGGCACCTAACCCTGACAAGTGTGAGGTGATGCACTTTGGAAGAAACAACAAGATGCAGGAGTATTTTTTGAATGTTAAGACTTTGGGTAGCTTAGAAGAATGGAGGGATCTTGGGGAAATTATTCACAGATCCCTGAAGTTGGAAGAACACGTGAATAGGATAGTTCAGAAGGCATATAGTGTATTAGCTTTTGTTGGTCATGGCAGAGTATAACAGCAAGGAGGTAACGTTGGAGTTGTACAGAGAGATGGTCAGGTCACAGCTGGAGTACCGTATACAGTTCTGGTCACCTCACTACAGGAAGGATGTGATAGTACTAGAGGGGGCCCAGAGGAGGTTCATGAGGATGTTGCCTGGGATGGAGAAATTGAGCTACAAGGAGAGACCAGATAGGCTTGGATTGTTTTCTTTAGAGCAGAGAAAACTGAGTTGGGGGGGGGCATGGCTCGGGTGTATGGATTATGAGGGGTATGGACAGAGTGAATAGAGAGCAGCTGTTCCACTTGGTTGAGGGGTCAATCATGGGAGGGTATAGTTTTACGGTAAGGGACAGAAAAGTCAGAGGGGATTTGGGAAAAAATCTTTTTCACTGAGTGGGTGGTGGGAATCCAGAATGCACTGCCTGGGAAGGTAGTGGAGGCTGGAAACTTACAATCTTTAAAAAATATTTGAATGAGTACTTCAAATATCATAACATTCAAGGATATGAGACAAGTGCAGAAAATTGGGATTAGTGCACTTTTAGTGGTAATTACGTTGGTGCAGACTCAATAAGCCAAAAGGGACTTTTCTGCACTATTTGAATCTATAAAAGTATAATACATATATCTATCTATAGGCCAGTTAGCTTAACATCCATCATCGGGAAGGGGTTGCAAGCTGTTCTTAAAGTTGTTATAAAAGAGCATTTCAAGAGCAATTATGCAGAGTCAATATGGTATTGTGAAAGGTAGAATACGTCAACTAATTTAGTGGAGTTCTTTGAAGAAATTATATATGCTTTAGATAAAGGGGAACTTGGATTTATAGAAAGCAATTAATAAGATGGCACATGAAAAAGTTATTGTGGAAACTAAAAACTAATGTTTTAGAGGTTAATGTAAGAGCATGGATACGAAGAATGGCTGGCTGAAAGGAAACAGAAAGTTGATGTAAATGGGCCTTTTTCTGGTTGAAAAGATGCAATGCCATAGGGTTCAGCGCTAGGCTTCAATGTTTTAAATTAAGTAAATAATTTGGACAAAGGGATTGAAGGAATCATTGTTAAATTTGCTGATTACACTAAGATAGGTAGGAAAGTGAGTTGTGAAGAGGATATAAAGGAGATTACAAAGGAATATTGATAGGTTTAGTGATTTGATTTACTATTGTTGCATGCACCTCAGTGAAAAGTTTTGTTTTGTGAGCAGTACAGGCTACAAGGGCATACCAATCATACAAGGACATACAGGTGTTTAGACAGAGCAAGGCATACAAGGTTACAGCTGCACAGGAGGTGCACAAAAGCAAGAATAATATTAGATTTGAAATTAGAAACGTCCGTACAGCAGTCAAATAACAGCAGGGAAGAAGCTGCTCTTGAATCTGTTGCTAAGTGTGTTTAAGCTTCTGTATCTTCTGTCTGATGGAAGAGATTGGAAGAGAGTATCACTGGGGTGGGAGGGGTTTTTGACGATGTTGGCAGCCTTTCTGGCAAAGATCCAGCGAGCGGGCAAAGATCTAGCAAATGGAGTATAATGTGGGAAAATATCAAATTTCCCATTTGAAGAATAAAAATAGACCATATTATCTAAATGGTTAGAGATTACAGAGTTCTGAAATGCAGAGGGAATTGGGTGTTCACATGCTTTAATTGCAAAGGTTTAGCATGCAGGTATAGTAAGTAATTAGGAAAGCTAACAATGCTATTGCTTATCATGAGGAGAACCGAGTAGAGAAGTAGGCAGATTATGTTTCAGGCATTGGTAAGTGCTTACCTTGAGTACGGTGGACCATATTGGTGTCCTTATTTAAGGAAGGATATAAATGCATTAGAAACAGTTTTAGGGAAGGTTTCCAGGACTGGAATACCTGGATTTGGGCTGGTAGGAAAGGTTGGACAGGCTGGGCTTGAATCCATCACTGTTGGAGGCAGCACGGTGGCTCAGTGGTTAGCACTGCTGCCTCACAGCGCCAGGGACCCAGGTACGATTCCACCCTCGGGCGACTGTCTGTGTAGAGTTTGCACATTCTCCCCGTGTCTGCGTGGGTTTCCTCCGGGCGCTCCAGTTTCCTCCCACAATCCAAAGACGTGCAGGCTAGGTGGATTGGCCATGCTAAATTGCCCGTAGTGTTCATGGAGGTGTAGATTAGGTGGGTTATAGGGGGATGGGTTTGGGTGGGATGCTCCAAGGTTCGGTGTGGACTTGTTGGGCCAAAGGGCCTGTTTCCACACTGTAGGGATTCTATGATTCTAGTTTTCAAGAGGAAGAGGCAGCTTAATTGCAACATGCAAGATCATGAAGGGTCTAGACAGGGTACATAGGGAAAGGATGTTTCCTCTTTATGGGAGCCATGATGTGGAGGTGCCAGTGTTGGACTGGGGTAGACAAAGTCAGAAGTCACATGACACCAGGTTACAGTCCAAAAGTCACAAGTTTTCAGAGCACTGCTCCTTTGTCAGGTCAAATGGAAGGAAGCGCACAGACACGGAGTTTATAGGCAGAGAGATCATTGCAAGATAATTCCAGGTAATTAAGAGTGTCAAAAGATAGCCCAAATGGTGTGAGTGGAGTGTTGACAAGCTGAATAACAGTCTCTGCAGGTGATCAAATGTGTCAAACAGTTTGAGTAAAGTGTCAACAGCTGAATAGCAAGTGAACGGACGACCAATGATCTGATTAATTAAGACAGAGATAACTACAAAAAAAATCAAAAATAAAATATTGTTAGAGGCAAATCAAACATCTGGAATGACATGATAGGTGTAAGAGTTGCAGGTGTCATTCACCCATTGTCGTAATGTCTGCCCGGTCTCGCCAATATACCATGCCTCGATGACAACAAACATCTCGCCAAGGCCATCTGAACGCCTCCACTTCTCACCTTCAAACAACTGCCAAACCTCAAACAGACTATTGTTCACTGCAAACTACCCAGCGTTCAGGACAACATTGGCCACAACACCACAAAACCCTGCCACGGCAACCTCTGCAAGACATGCCAGATCATTGACATGGATATTACCATCACATGTGGGAACACCATGTACCATGTACACGCTAGGTAGGCTGCGCAACAATCACCAGACAGGAATGTTCCCTCCCAGTCACGGAACACTTCAGCGGTCAAGGACACTCAGCCTCTGATCTTCGAGTAAGCATCCTCCAAGGCAGACTGTGAGATACACAACGCAGAATTGTCAAACAGGAACTGATATCCAAGACTGATAGGCGATGGCCTAGTGGTATTATCCAGAGACCCACGTAATACTCTGGGAACCTGGGTTGAAATCCTACCATGGCAAATGGCAGAATTTGATTTCAATAAATAATCCAGAATTAGGAATCTAATGATGTCCATGAATCCATTGCCAATTGTCAGGAAAAACATATTTGGTTCACTAATGTCCTTTAGGAAAAGGCATCTGCCATCTTTACCCAGCCTGGCCTACATGTGACTCCAGACCCATAGCAATGTGGCTGACTCTTAACTGCCCTCTGGGCAATTAGGGATGGGCAATAAATGCTGGTCCAGTCAGCGATGCCCACATCCCATCAATGAATGAAAATCTAAAAAAAATTCTGTAGCCATGAAGACAGTCTCAATCGTGATCTTGGGTATATGTCGTGTTACATGTAACCCCACCACACTGAAAAACTATAAAATTTTCCTTACTGTCCTGTTTTGACACCATCACCTTGATAACTTATGATCCCTCTACCTTAATTATTTTGTACAGTTTTGGATTCCTTGTTATTTTGGTTAGACCCTTGGCACGAGACTCTTATACCTATCATGTTATTCCAGGCATTTGGTTTGTCTCCAGTACCATCTTATTTTTAATTTTTTGTAATTATCTCTCTGCCTCAATTAATTGGATTATAGATCAGCCCTTCACTTGCTATTCAGCTGTTAACACTTTACTCACACCGTTTAACACTTTTGATCACCTGCAGACACTTTTTGTTCAGCCTGTAGACACTTCACTCACACTATTTGTACTATCTTTTGACACTCTTAATTAACTGGAATTATCTTGCAATGATCTCTCAGTCGATAAGTTCTGTGCCTGTGCCCTTCCCTCCACTTCACCAGATGAAGGAGCAGTGGTCCGAAAGCTTGTGATTTCAAATCAACCTGTTGGACTATAACCTGGTGTCATGTGAATTCTGACTTTGTCCTTTCGTGGGAGAACCTAGAACTATGGGTCACTATTCTAAAACAAGCGGTTGTCCGTTTAAGACACAGATAGTGAAAACATTTTGCTCAGAGTTTTAAGACTTTCTGGAACTCCCTTCCTCAAGGAGTAGTGGAAGCAGATTTCTTGAATATTTTTAAGGCAGAGATACATAGATTCTTGATAAACAAAGGGGTAGTTGAGAATGTGGAGTGATCTGATCAGCTATGATCTTATTGAATAGCAGCGCAGGCTTGAGGGGGCTTTGTGTTCCTCCTAATTTGTATGTTTGAACTCAGCAAACTGAAGCCCACTTCCAATTCCTTTCAATGTGCATTCAGCCCTGCCCACACAAGTTTTACATTCCTTTTCTGTTTAGCATAAAGCATCTCTGTAATTCAGTGTCAAAGGTCGTTTGCTTGTTTGTTTTGTGTGTTCAGCCCACCAACATGTCTACATGCATCACCCACCTGTGCCACCTGTACCACCTGGAGTTGGATGTGCTGAGGCTGCTGTCCCTGAATGGGTTGGATATGTTGAGAGACAGGAATGTACTGCACACGGTGATAATCTCCTTGTGGTGGGCGGTAATCTGTTGTCAGCGTCTGTGACAGTTCGCTCATCGCCTGAGTCAGCAGATCAGTTGTCTGTGTGAAATAGAAAACAAAATTAATCAATTTAATTTCATGACTCAAAGTTTACTGGGGAAAATCTTTCAGTTTGGAGGGAATTAAATTTGCAAATGCAAGCTAATTGAAACTCTAGAATCCAGAGTTGGCTAGGGGAGGCGATGGCCTAGTTGTATTAATCGCTAGGCTGTTAATCCAGAGACCCAGATAATGTTCTAGGGACCCAGGTTCTAATCCCGGCGTGGCAGATGGTGGAATTTGAATTCAATAAAATATCTGGAATTAAGAATCTAATGATGACCACGAATCCATTGTTGATTGTCAGGAAAAAAGCCATCTGGCTCACTAATGTCCTTTAGGGAAGGAAACTGCCATCCTTACTTGGTCTGGATTACATGTGACTCCAGACCCACAGCAATTTGGTTGACTCTGAACTGCGCTCTGGGCAATTAGGGATGGGCAATAAATACTGCCTAGCCAGTGATGACCTCATCCCGTGAATGAATAAGGAACAAGATCATCCAACTATTTTCAGAAAAGTATCTCCCATGTGTACCTATCTATAAGGTCACAATTGGAAGGGCAAGAGTCACAAAATTTCAGGAGGGCTTGTTTTGCTGAGATCTGAAGAGAGCAGGTCTGTTCTGAATGAGGGTCACTGGACCTGAAATGTTAACTCTGCTATCTCTTCTCAGATGCTGAGATAGTAGGAACTGCAGATGCTGGAGAATCCGAGACAATGATGCTGCTTGGCCTGCTGTGTTCTTCTCAGATGCTGCCAGACATGCTGAGTTTTTCCAGCAATTTCTGTTTTTGTTCCTGAATGGAACAGGTCTGAGGAGAATTACCCTGTCTTCACTAAAGGTGCGAATTATTCATGTGATATCCCAGACTGGTTGAAACCAACTGGTAAACAAAGGAACGTCCTAATACAGCAACATGCTGTTCTAATGAAAGAACAGGTTTGAAAAGACTGGACAATGGGTTTGAATCTTTATCTGGGGCATTATAGAGGTGCCACTTTACTGAGGGCTTTGGTTGCAGGTTCTGTGCTGCATTTTGTTTTCTCACAGACACAGGCAGAGAGAGAAAGAGAGAGGAAAAGTGCCTGGAAGGAGATCAGACAAGTAGTAAAGGGCTATCGAAAAGAAGCTTATGTTCTGATTTTGGAGTTAATGAGTGAAGTGAGGCATACGTTTGAGCTGGAGCATCCACAATCATGAGATGCTTCAAGAAGGTGCCCTAAGCAAATGCTAATAGAAGGGCCACGAGAAATCTCATATCTTAGAGAATAGCAAGAAAAATGAGGAGAATCAAAACGAATCCTGAAAGCTGTACCATACATTAATTTGGTCTCAAGTGAAGTGAAGGATCCCTTAAAGACCTATTAATGTGCAGGAAAACTCTTCGATGCAATTAAAAACAGAACAGGAAGTTTGCGGATGAGATTTTCAGGTCTAAAAATGTAAGTGTTTACAAACGATATTAAATGTAAATTTAATTGTAATTATTTTAATTTTTGTACAGTAAGTTTTTCTTTAAAACATGGAAATCTTGTGGCAAAGTCTTTCAGTTAATAACTGTGAGTTCAAACTTAGTTTCAAAAGTTAATTGCCTTCTTGAGATCATAACAATCTTTACACCATTCTAAAATATCACCCCCTTGCACTCAGTGTGAGTGACATCTGACAGCTGTACTGAACATGGGCAACCACCGACAGTTGTTCAGTTTGCAGTAATCTAGTCAGTTGTACTGAATGTGAACAGCATTTTTGGGCTTTACCAATATCAGTGAGTAAGCAGCCTTAATAAGTAACTGAATTAAATCTAGTTTTCCCCACAGCTTTTAATGAAATGCATTTCAAACATACCAAATTTTCCTCCCTGCCATTTGCTGGGCTATTGTTCTTGCAGGCAGTGGTATACCCAAATAGAGAGGCAGATGACACAGAGAGTATGATCAAGCACTCCCGAGGGCGGGAACAGACACAGTTGAACTGGGTTCTGTCTTTGCCCGAGAGCTATACGAGCACACGTTCTCCAGAGGGATAATGATAAGGAGTAGGCTCTCCTAACAGTTTTTTTTAAACTACCCTTTAACTCAGCACATACAGGATAATTGTAGCACATCAGTTGACACTGGGGTTAAAGTAAAATAAAGAACTGTGGATACTAAAGATCTGAAACAACAACAGGAATTGCCAGAGAAACTCAGCAAGTCTGGCATATCTGTGGAGAGAACGCAAAGTTAATGTTTCAAGTTCAGTGGCCCTTCTCCAGTTCTTCCAGACCTGCTGAGTTTCTCCAGCAATTTCTGTTTTTGTTTTGACTCTGGGACTGTTTGGCCAAACCTTTAACTGCTGGCCTGTTGTGGGGACAGTCTTTGATTTTGACCCAGCCAGGACCTGACACTGCAGCTGATCCGTTTAATCCAAATCATTAGGAATAGGTTTATGTCCAGCTGAAAACTTACAGGCACTTATTTTACTGCATACTGTTGTATCAAGTTTCATAAAGATTCTTGCTTCCATCAGATCAAAATAGGTCAGGTTTACAGATGATATCAAAACTAAAAGAGGAAAGCACTGTGCAATACTCAGTAGTTCCTATCAAAGGGTCTTTTACCTGACAGGTCTGACTTGGAGAATTCCACCTGATGTCACTTATCCTCACTGCATTCCCTTTTATCTGTCTGTCTGACTGCTAACGTCTCTCCCTCGCCTCATCCTGCTTCTCTGTCTATGTCTCTCTGTCCCTTCGTCTTCCTCTCTGTCTGTCTGACAGCTAATGTCTCCCTCTCTCTCCTTATCTAGACCGGCCAGAGTCTCTCTCTCTGTCCTTGTCTCTTCCTGCCAGAGTCTGTCTGTCTCTCTCTCTCTGTCTCCTCGCCTGTCGCTGCCAGAGTTTCGCTTTGTCTGTCCTTGCCTCTCCCTGCCAGAATCTCTCTTTCTGTTTTTGCCCCTCCCTGTCTGAGTCTGTCTCTCTCTCCCTCACCCCCCCCCTCTCTCTCTCTCTCTCTCTCTCTGTCCTTGCCTCTCCCTGCCCTTATTCTCTCTGTATAGCTCACACCAGCAGACATTCTGTGAATTCTCTGGTAATTCCAGATTAGCAGTTAAAGACTTGCATCTCGGTCTCACCACAATTGTGTCTCCAGCAGAGCCATCAGTGTTCACAACAGTTGGTGCTGCACTAATCACAGTGGCCACAATCGGTGCTTGTGCAGGAAGTGTCTGAAGTGCATTCGGATTCTCTTGTAGAACATCTGTATGTTTTTTGCGGATATGCTGCACCATTTTTGCCTGGAGACAGAACAAACACAGTTACTTAGAACCAGACATCATGTCTTCACTCATTTTCACTATCATCAGCTCTCACACTGCACACATGATCTGCTCCTGTGCAGGCAGAGGCACACAGGTATCCCAGCACTTGTTCAAGGAGCCCCCTGTCCCCTGCATGTCAGCAAGGCCAAAGCTGTGCTTTATCTGAAAGATGTCAGGATGCTACCCAAGAAATCAGCAGGATATATTAAAGAAAACCTATGGCAGTTTTGAAGGGAAGAGGAACAATTATGTCTCAAGCAAAACGACACAAAAGAATCACAGAAGTCAAAGAGCTTTAGAGCCATAGAGTTTTGACAGCACTGATAAAGGAGCCCATTGTATCCATGTTGGGCTGCTCTCAGCAATCGTAGGCAGCGGTGATGTGCCACTGGCAGCGAGAGCAGGGCTTTCACCCAATGGTGGCAGCCTCGCAGCCATCTCGGCAATTGGAAGCAGTGGCAGTATCAGCAACTGCAACAACATGGCTCCTTCCAGCGCTCGGGGACAGCAGTAGCAAAGCCCTGCCTGGCAATCGGGGGGCAGCAGTAGCAA